TTAGGGTTTAAACACTCGGACACTTATTCGGACCCCCTTTCCTAATGACAGATATGTAATAATGGTGTTTACTTGCCATTTCTCATGCATTAGTGTTTAAACACTCGGAAACTGATTCAGACCCTCTTGCATGATGGTAGATATGTAATTTTGGTGTTTATTTGCCATTTCTCTTGCATTAGGGTTTTAGCACTTAGTCACTTATTCGGACCCCTTGCATGATGGCAGATGTGTAATTATGAGGTTTACTTGCCATTTCTCATGCATTAGGGTTTAAACACTCGGACACTTATTCAGACACTGTTGCATGTTGGCAGATATGTAATTATGGTGTTTACTTGCCATTTCTCATGCATTAGGGTTTAAACACTCGGACACTTATTCAGACACTCTTGCATGTTGGCAGATATGTAATTATGGTGTTTACTTGCCATTTCTCATGCATTATGGTTTAAACACTCGGACATTTATTCCGACCCTCTTGCATGATGGTAGATATGTAATTATGGTGTTTACTTGCCATTTCTCATGCATTAAGGTTTAAACACTCGGACACTTATTCTGACCCTCTTGCATGATGGCAGATATGTAATTGTGAGTTTAGTTGCCATTTCTTATGCATTTGGGTTTAAACATTTGGACACTTATTTTGACCCTCTTGCATGATGGTAGATATGTAATTATGGTGTTTATTTGCCATTTCTCATGCATTAGGGTTCAAGCACACGGACACTTATTCGGACCCTTTTGCATGATGGCATTACATGTAATGTTTTTATTTAGTAATACTCTGATGAATGAATGAATAAATTGTTTTCTTTAAATAATGCATGTCAATGATATACATATAATGGGTTTATTTTGAGGGCGTGACACGGTGTTTACTTGCTGTAGCGACCCTAATTTTCTTAAGTCATTATTTTGTTTTATTATTATGGCTATTATTAACTTATCTTATTTTTGGCTTTATTAATTGTATCGTTACATGAGAATTTAATGTGTTGTTTAGTTAATGTAATGTGATATTTAATTAATTTAATGTGGTATTTAATTGTATATAATTAATAAGAATATTTATATTTATATATTCATGAATACAAAAAAAAAAGAGGGTGTTATATGTATTGTTTTTATAAAATATATTTATATATGTGGTAGTTATTTGATAACATAATATATATATATATATATATATATATCATATTTATTTAGGTTTTATTTATATTGTATTTGTATTATATAATATAATAACTATTAGGATTTATCACAAGTGTTTAGGTTATATAATAAATGTTTAGGTTATAAACTTAAGGAAAAAGAGAAGTAGAGGCAGCAGCTACGGGAGGGAGAGAGAGAGAGAGAGAGAGAGAGTAATCACAAAATAGAGATGCTGCCGAGAGAGAGGGGATTGACGGGAAAGAGAGGAAGAAAGAGGAGAGGAAAGAAAAAGAAATATTAGGGTTTTGTTTTGGTGGCTCTATTAGTTTTCAGATATTCTTTAATCTTCAAAAATAATTGTGAGTACAAAATCCACTTTTCTTTGTTTATATTTGATTCGTTATATTTATTTAATATTGATTTGATTTTTGTATTGATATGAAGATGACAGATTGATTTTAATTGTTTTGATTAATTGGGTAT